TGCAATAATTACCCGTGTTTCGAATATATCAAAAGTTTTTGGGATATCGGATATCATATTTTGACTGTTCAAAAGAGTAAGGATTTGAAAATAAAACTTGGAGGGTGTTCGGTTATTATTCAATTCAATTTTCATTTGAGTATCGAAACAGTTCTGATTTTAAAAGCTTTATTTAATAACCAAGAGATTTGGTTGATAGTATTTTTTTTATATGCTTTTGAAAGTTGAGTTTATAAGCTCTGGTCTTATGAGATTTAAGAGCTTTGAGAATTGTGTACCGAATGTCTATGAGGACTTGAGTGGTTATTTTTTCTGTGTGGTAAGAAACATATTTATAACTTGCAGTTGTTGTATTAATGGAGTTATACTTTATCAAAGCGGTTGGATGTTCAAATGTGATTTTTATAACAGGTTTTGGTGATCTTCACCCTGTAATTGCAAAGAAAAGGGATTTCTAACTAGACCTCAAGATCTAACCCTAATTTTGTGTTTCAAAAATATGAATTGCAGGTCAAGCTATGTCCAGGGACAAGGGGAAGGGGAAAATATGAATTATTTTCATATTGTGCTTAATTGCTCTATGAAGATCAGCTTATTATTTGATAGATTTTTGGAATGCTTGTTATTTATACAAGTGGTGTACAAGAATGTTATTTTTGGAATTTTTGAGTTGTAAATTTTGTAATATAGTTTCTTGTATTGTTGGGACCGAAGTTGTGTTATTGTATTTCTTAATATATGAAATACATGATTATATGCAAATGTGGAAGGTAGGGTGTTATAACACACCATCTAGAAAAACAAATTTAACATCCATCTGATAAACTTTAAAGTTCTTATATGCTACATAAACAAGAAAATTTCTAATGGCTTCAATCCTTGCCACTAGTGAAAAGGTCTCATCATAATATGTTCCTTCTTGTTGACAATATCCCTTAGCTACCTTTTTAGCCTTGTCTCTAACAACAATTCCATCTTCATCCTTCTTATTTCGGAATATCTATTTAGTTGGTAGATTTACCTTTAGGTCTTGGAGCCAATCTCCAGACTTTGTTTCTCTTAATTTGAAGAATTCTATCTTCCATGCAAGAACCCAATCTGGATCTTGTAATACTTCAGATGGCTTCTTAAGTTCAGTAGAGATAAGAAAATTTACAAATAAACATTAATTTGCAGTTGCAGATCTAGTTCTTACTCCACTAGAGGGTTCATCAATAATCTGATGCAGGGGATGATCCTTAGTCCATTTGTGAGTGTTTGGTAAGATTTGAATCTAGTCTGATAGTTTGGAATGTCATTCTCATCATGAATAACATGTACCTCTGATTGTTCCTCTTCTTGTTCTATTATTTATTACAAAATAAAGTTATAATGATTGTTTCTTGATGTAAACAATCATATCTTCATTTTATATAAGAAACCATGTTGTAATTTCATTACGAATAAACAACTCAATAAAATAAATGATCTCCATAACCCAATTTTGAAGTAGAAGGCACAAAAAAAAGGTTCAAGATGATCTTATTATAGAAACTTAAGAATCAAGGATTCAATAAAAAACCAATATATGTTAGATCTAACAAAGATCAAGGGATGATTATTTGGATCCATATTCAAAAGTCAAGAAACAGTCAGGTAAAAAGATGAAGAAACGGTAAAAAGCCAACTAATTATGAGCATCTGGATAAAGAATCAACTGAAAACAGGTTTGAAGATGCAGTGAAGATAAATAAGTAATGGAAAACAAGTTTCAAGATAAAGAAGGAATGGCAAACAAAAACCGATTGCAATCGAAAACAAAAAGAAGCAATGGAAAACAAAAATTCACTATAAACCTGTTAATTGAAGATGAAGTGAAGAGGTAAACTTGTTAATCGAAGTTCCTTGACATAGAAACCTAGATTGGAAAACATGCCTGTTAATCTTAAACAAACCTGTTAATCGATTTGCAATCTATGCACCCACATAAATTGATTACAAACATGTTAAGTCCTTGACATGGAAACATAGATTGTAAAACAAACCTGTTAATTGATCGTAATCAAAGCACCCAGATAAATCAATTACAAACCTGCTAATCGAATCTCCTTGACTTGGAAACCTAGATAGGAAAATAAACCTGTTAATCAATTGCAATCAGAAAAGAAGCAATGGAAAAAAAATTGACTACAAACCTGTTAATCGAAGGAAAGAGACTGACTGAAGATGCCGAGATGAACACCAAATTGATCATAGTAAGGTTAAGGGCTTATTGCAAGGAGGGGGGGGGGATAGAGGATTTATGTATGCCACCATTTTAAGAACATCAATCCACGTTGGGAACGAGAGTCACCACAATTGAACGGGTATAACACCTCGAGAGCTTCAATCGTTGTCTTGAAAACAAAAAATGACACCTCGATTGAAGCTTGTTCTCTGAAAGAAACTAGAGGAAGTAGGCATGCTTTATCAAGTTGTATATTAAGTTTGTTAACTTGTAATTAGAAGATTTTAAGAAAGTGCGTTTTAAAAAGCAATACTTTATGCTTTAGATGTTTTTAAGACTTTTGATGATATGTTTTATAAGATAATATAGATAAGTGTAAATCCAATCAAGATTTGATATCTAACACATATAAGAGCAAGGATTAAATATAGAAAATGCATCATTTTAAGCACATAAATATAAAATAAGCATTCTTGAAGCAGAAGATGGAGGCACCCATTTGAATTGAGAGCGTACCCATTTGAAGCATCCATTTTTGAATTGAGAGTGTACCAAATTATAAGCAATGTGAAAGCATAAATTAACCATACTATACAAGAAAAACAAAGATACATAAATTGGACCATATTATAAATCAAACGTACTAGAAACAAATGAAGCATAAATCGAAACGAAGAAACAAAGGAAAGGAACCGATATAAAAATGAAGCATAAAAAACCATACCAAAAGCAGGGGTTGGCGACAGAGATGAATGGGCGTTGACATCCGTAGTTAATACATATCCCTGTGGGAAAAGGGAACCGCTAAAGCTTATTATCCTCATCCATATGGATAAGTAAAATAAGCTACAACCTAAATTCATGTTCTCAAAGCATCGAACTAAGCCGTCCTAGATTGATCTTAATTGATTGACTTAAAACTAACGGATGATAAAATCGACAAACAAACAAAACCCTAGTTTGCTTCAACATTCAAATAATGGAAGCACATTAATTATCAAGATCATGAATTGACATGAATCATTATAAGAAAACAATGGCGTTAAATAATGAAGAAATGAATACCCAAAAAGGACTTTTCGATCAAACTCCTTTTTAACGAAAAAGTAGAGCCAAAAGTGTTTGCAAGGATTTTCCTTTTGATCTCTGCTTCTCTAACGACTCTTGAACAAATACACTTTAGTGACTATGAGAAATCACGTACCCATTGGAAGGCAAATTTGAGAGGACGAAATCCGGCAATGTCACTCTTGACGCCTTGAAAACCAAAACATTGTGCATCGTTCTTTAAACCTCCAATATCGTGTTCAATTTCTTTGATGCTTCCATGATGATGGCTTTTTTTTTTTCTTGAGTTTCTTCTTCCTCGTATCATAAGAGAATGATAATTCTGTAAATACCCACAATAACCTTTTAGGCAAGTCACAAAAGAGACCGATGAGTACAATCAACGAAGTGGCAAAAATACGATGGTTTCGGGCGTCGATCATTTTTTAAAAGGGAAGAGACGAAATTAAGCATAAAGACTTTTGAAATTTGAAATCAGTTCCATGTTTGAAAGCGTTCCGTATTTGAAGGATATAAAGCAACATTCAGTGTTTCTTATAATTAAGAAATCTTTGAACAAAGCTAGAAATGGAAGAGGAAAAAAAAGATGGAAGTAGGAAAGTAAGCTTCGAAGTGTCAATTTAGGTGGTATTTTTGGCAGCACATCAACAAGATGTACATTATGCTTTTTATCTTGTAATTCATAGTTTTTTGAACTTATTGCATAACATGGTAGTACTTCATGCTTTGTGACTTGTTTTAAAGAGTTTTACCTAAATGCGTTACAAGGTAGTGTTGTATACACACACATACATGTTTGTGTCCGTGTAAAATCTTGTCATACAAAGGAAAAATAATCATGTAGATATTATAAAACAACAATCAAATGTGTCCGCCACAAAAACCATTCGTTCAATTTTTTTTATGAAGGTACGTGATCCTTCAATATTTAGTAACAATTAATTACTAGTAGAAAGATGTTCTAATAATACATAGGGTTATCTGGCAGTTACTGAATGGTTTGACGTAAAATGATTAAGTGGTCAGAAGGACTAAGAGGCTCTCATGATATATTGAAAAATAAAATATAATTGTTTGGTAATTGTTCACAATGAAATTAGGGCGCTGAATGGTACAAATCATTCACAAGGTTTTAAAACCATTAAAAGGTAGACTTTTTTTTTGCCAAACAAGATTCACATCTTAACGATTCATATATTGTCTCTTAATGGAACTACTAAGAGGTAAACACACAACCTCGTAGATATATACCTCTTTAATTACAACAAGAGTAAATTACATTTTTTGTCCTTGTGGTTTATTAAAAATTTCAGATTTAGTCCTCATGGTTTTAGAATTTTCATTTTCATTTTTATGGTTTGCAATTCATTTTTATTTAAGCCACTAGGACCAAAACACTACTTTTAAGTATAAAAGATTAAAATAGAAATGAATTGTAAACCATAAGAATAAAAAAAACGATAAATTTTAAATCATAAGAACGAAAAAAATAATTAATTATAAACCATAGAGATAAAAGTAATTTCAAAACCATTAGGACTAAAATAGAAATTTTCAACAAATCACAGGTACTAAAAACGTAATTTACTCTAACAACAAACTTGGAGGACTTGTTTGGATGGCAGTTTTAAGTGAAGGGGCTAAAAGATTCATAATAAAATTAACCCTGAAAAAGGTTAAAAATGTAATGAAGAAAATAATTCTAAAACCCTAATGGATTGTAAAAAAGGCAAGGATTTGCATTCGGTCACAGATCTTGTCTTTGCTTCGATTCAAATCTACATGATTACCCTTGTTCTCCAATCTAATTAATTGTGATTATCTCTCTCTCTCTCCTCATCGAATTCATCATAAATTCGGAAAATTTATGAGAAGATCGAACAGCTCATGAAATTATTTACTTTTTTCTGTTTTGCAGATTGAAATGGCGGCAATTGCAGTTCATCAGTTTGCCGATTGCGTTACCTGTCATTCTTGGAGTCCCGATCACTCTAGTAAGATATAGATAGGAACATAAATGTATTTGTCTCCTCATCGAATTCATCATAAATGTATTTGTCTTCGTTTCGATGTAACCTTAATTTTAGGTTAATAAGCTCCCTTTTTTGAGGTATATACTGCAAATATAACTCAAAAACACTCACCAAAGATTGAGATGGAACCCTTGACCGGTTGGATTACCCTAGGCCAAATGCCCTTTTTGTTCCAAAGTTAGAGAGATGTTCGTAATTTTGAGAGAAAAATTGGAAGTTCTAGATTCCTGGAGTGCTGCAATTCTTGTGATTTTAGTAGGTACAACTATTGCCATTCTTTTAAATTATGCGCCGTCTGATCCATCAGAAAGCTTTTGACTTTTAAGGTCAAAGCCAACTTTCCAAATGCAAAATTCATATGAATTACCTTACAAACTCAGCATCACCATTTTTCTGTTTTTAGTACTTGTCTTAAAGTTTGTGGTTTGTAAATTGTAAATCGTTCTCAAAATGTTTTGGAATCTATATAAATGTTGAGTTTTAGCTAGTCTGTTCAGTATCAAAGGAGAATTACCTAGAATTACCATGAAGGTGTTTTGTGGGAGCTTTCGGACCTTAGTAACATTGATCCAAATGGTCGACAAAAATTGATCTCTTACAAACATATGAATACCGTTTGAGAGCTCTTATATCAAAATAGTAATCTACTTATTTACATGTTTGAGGCGTGGTCTAATGTATATTTCCACGTTTATAATTGTACATGCTTTTACTATATCCACAGGCCTTTTATATTCTGACTACTTGGTGCTCATATTTTCATGCATCTTAAAATTGGATGGGGAATCCTACTGCAGCATACTGCTAACTTCACTATCCTCTTTCTTGATGATGTAGCCTGTGTGCAATATGTCATTCTTTCTCTTTTTATTTGCACCTCTTATAAGAAGTTGTAATTGTATCTGCTTTCATGCAGTGATTGCCCTTTGTCCAAACAATAATGAGGTTCACATCTTTAAATTAGTTGAAGGAAATTGGGAAAGGATTCATGTTCTCCAAAAGGTACTTGATATTAAGTTTATTTGATCACTTCGTTTCTAAATGTTTATTTCTGCCCTAGGATGACTATCTTTATTAAGCCTATCCTTTAGTCTCTTTGGTATTTTTGTACATTGTATTTCTCAAACTTTAGCTTACAATTGCTGATCTGTAATAGATAATACATACATCCTCTTCTCTCTTTTTTTGCATATCTTTTTCCTTGTCTCTGGAGGTCACTGTTCTATTCTTAAATAGGCATTTGATATCTACCGTTTCATTCATGGAAGTTGTTGGCATACTTCTAAAATTCAATTAAAAAAATTAACTGATGGCATTGAGCCATTGACACATTATACCCATTCTCTTTGAAGCTTTTTTTAAAGAAAAGTTGCTACAGATTTTCTGTAACAGATAGAACTTAAAGTTTCTGGAGCTAGCAGATTTAATATGATGATTTGATATTGTGAAATTTCATCATTATACTAATAATCTATTTTTTGTGTGGCTGAGATTGGAGGGTGTCTAATATAATCAACAGTGAATGATGCCCCTGATTTACCACACATGGAATTATTTGAAATTAGGGCAAACTGCATAAAAAGGTAATGTACTTTTTCAATTTCTATTTTGGGGAACACACTTTCAAATGATCTATTCAGGGGTCTATGACAAGTTTATAAACTGGAAGAGGACCCGGTTACCTTTAAACTTGATGAAAGTTGATGTGGCATAGATGGTATGACAGTACACCAAGTTAAAATTTGACTTTGTTTGACTTATCTATGAAGTGGCAATTGCATTGATTTTCTTTAATATTATTATTTGAAATATTTTTTATTTATTTAATCGTCTTCTTCACATCGCAGACAACGACCACCATAGTTAAAGCTACCGACCACCACTAGGAATTCAAATCCAAGCATTTCTAATAAACTCAACCATTTTTGAGACGAATAACATAATTTTTTTGATAATAATAATCATAAACAATAATAGTAATAATCATATTCATACTAATAATAATAGTAGTAGTAGTAATAATAGTAAAGCCATGTCAACATCATTTTTATTAGAAGTTGACACATCACCAATATTATAACAAGTTACCTGTTATTCAGGTAACCGGATCCTGTTTTGGCTTATAAAGTTTGTCATTGACCCCTAAATAGATCATTTGAAAGTACGTTCCCCAAACTGAAACAAAGTATGTTACCTTATTATGCAACTTCCCCCTTCAAATTATATATGGTTTAACTTTTATTCCTAAATATAATTAAACTAATATATTATAGTTTGTGAGGACATGTATGGTGGAGGTTATGCCATATCTTGATGGAAGATAATCTAGTATTCTAGTGATTGGCATATTTGTACATGTACAAACTTTTGTTTCCATCGATACCAATCACTAGTACATATAATATCAAGTGTAGAATACTAGTGTAGTCTCTTTGGTTTTATTTGTTTATTTTCAGTGCTCTGTTTAAGGTTTCAATATGAGTATATCCTTTGTCTCATTATGTATTCAAAAATTATTCTAACGGAAAAGCTTTCTCTTCTTCAATGTTATACCTTGGTGCAGCATGACCAAATTATTGCAGGGATAGATTGGAGTAAATCGTCAAACAGAATAGTTACAGTATCGCATGATCGGAATTCGTGAGTGAATGTTTTAAGTTTTAAATATGCATTCTGTTCAATTTAGGCAACATATTTGCATCTCTCTCTCTCTCACACACACACAATGGTGCTTTTGTTGCTGCTGCTGCTTCTGCTTCTGCTTCGGCCTATATTTGGAAGCATGCCCATATTCTTTATGATTGGTGTTTGCTGTTATCGTTATTCTTTAGATCCTTTATCATGATTACTTCTCATTTTGCAGGTATGTTTGGAACCATGAAGGATCTGTATGGGTGCCGACTCTTGTTATCCTCAGGCTTAACCGTGCTGCACTATGTGTGCAGTGGAGTCCTAAAGGTATTGTAAGACATGTTCGTTCACTTCTTCCTGCTTTTTTTGTCATGTCCGCTTTCCTCACTGTCTAAATGACTTATAATGCTCTTGATCACTGTTGTTAATTAAAGGATCTAAACTAAATTTTTGAGGAGCATCTAACCTGTGACTTGCTAAGTTGTTCTGTCTGCATAGTGCTATAACATTGTTGGGACGTCAATATCTCTTTGACTAGAATTATTAAGTGTATGCTGAAGTCTTAAAGATTCTAGTGTCTCCTGATGCAGACCTGTGCTTCCCTTGCTGTGAACCTCGAGTTTTGTGACCCTTGTGTATTCAAATCTTACTCCATGGGTGTTTATTTCTTCTTTGTCATATTACCAAGTTCATTATTGAATATTGATTGAATCTAGACAGTGTTTTGGAGAAGATTATGGTCACCTTTACAGCCTTACTATGTAAATTTGGTTAATAACTTTGCCAACCTTCTTCTTTACCTTATAAGTTGAGGCAAAATGGATCCCCATGCAAAGCTTGAATTTTTTACATTAGCAGTTAGGGGGATCACTTACAAACAATAATCGTGTAAAGGAATGCCTGGTTTTTTGCTTCGGATATTAGATATGAGCATGTATCCATATATTTAATTTATTGTACTTCTGTTGGTCTCTTAAAGCCACGATGCCTAGATACGATGTTCATATGGTTCTGAATCCGTGCTATGTATTTGTACGGGTGCACGTTTTCTGTGGAAGTCATGGACCATGTCTGCACATAACTTGCTTCCATGTTGTCAATGCCCTTTTTTATTTATGGAACACTCCTGACTCCTGTATGAGCTGTGTGATTTATTGCCCTAGAGATCACAAAACCTATATCATCCATGGGTGGAGGTGGAATCTATTGTGTTACTGTTGGGTATGTGCATAACTCAAAATTTGTAGTACTTTTGTAGTGTAAAAACAATAAATTATTGTAGTGCATCCTCTGAATTTTTGTTGTTGTGGTGCTGCATACTCTGATCGAAAAATCCTAGACCCACCACCAATACCATATCTTACCATTTGAGAATATGTTTGTGTAAATCCTGCTTATCTCAGTATACTTGGTAATTTTGGTTTACAGGAAACAAGTTTGCTGTGGGAAGTGGAGCTAAAACTGTTTGTATATGTTACTATGAGCAGGAGAATAACTGGTAATTTGCTGTTTAGATTTCTAACTTCTGGAACTGATTTCATTGTACTTGGTCAGATTTGATGATTGCTGGACATGCTTTCTGTAATTGGATGTTGCATTCGTTATGCTTGGTACTGTTCTGTGTCAATTTAAGATGCTAAAATGGATAGAGAGCAGGGTAATAATGCGTTGGTTGAGCGGCACATAATATAGGGATTGCACATGCAGAAATGGTAATAGCCCCTCTACCCCTTGGGGTAGAAGTAAGGTCTGCATACATCTTACCCTCCCCAGACCCTACTTCTCCATGGGATTTACTAGGTCGTTTGGTTTGGTTTTTCATGTAGAAATGGTAAAGCCATGTTAGAATGGCAAACTCAAATCAACAACGCCCTATCCTGAACCATATAGTTAAAGAAAGAATGGATAGCATCAACATATGTGCACTCTGTCTGAACTAGTGAATGCCAGTTTTCTGTATGCTGAGGAACTAGGGGTAAATATTTCTACAGACTGACAAATGGAACTAAACTGATCCGAACTTGGTACCATTCCTTGTCAAGTTTATGTGCCCAAACCAGTGTTAGAGGACAGGTAGGATTTAGAGTGAATTACACTGGTGGTCCCTGTGGTTTGTTCAAATTTCGGATTTGGTCCCTAAAACAAACTATCTACATTGGTGGTCCCTAACTTTTCAATTTCATAACACCAATGGTCCCTCCCTTAATGACGTTAGTTAGCAACCTTGTAGGACCAAAAGTGTATCTGCTCTAAAATTAAATGTGATACACGTTTTTTTTTGTTTTTTATTAAAAAATATTTATTATTAAATTTGCAAATCAAATTTCTTAAAATAAAGTACATATTAATAAAAATCTTTATCTATTTAAAAAAAACTATCAAATTCACAAACAAATAGCATTAAAAAATCTCAAGTTTTAAAAAAAAGTAAATCAAGATGAAGTCCCATTTCTTTTAGGTTGAGAATTGAAATATTCGAGCAAAATATTGAAAATTAAGTTCGGTTAACTTGAGATTATTAATATATAGTCAAACTACAAATAATTAAAATAACAACAAAATAAAAATTATAAATTAAGATTAAATAACACTGATTATTCAAACAGTTAAGAAAAACCATCACTACAACAAATAATATAAATATTTTTATTTAATATGTATTTTATTTTAAGATATTTGATTTGTGATGGATATATAAAATATTTTCTAATAAAAATTAAAAAGCCGTGAATCACATTAAATTTTAGAGCAGATTACACTTCTGGTCCCTATAGTTTGCTCAAAAACCGATTAGTCCTTAATAATGGTTGCTACCTAACGTCGTTAAGTGGAGGGACCATGGGTGTTATGAAAATGAAAAGTTAGGGACCACCAGTGTACATATTTTGTTTTAGGGACCAAATCCAAAATTTGAGCAAACCACAGGGACCACCTGTGTAATTCACTCTAGGATTTATTATGCATGGTTGCATCAATGTTATTGGGGTTTCAGAGAGCATGAAAAAAGAGGATTCTGCTGATGAGGGTAAAAGGATCATTGAGTAGCAAACTCAACTCATCAGGATCTTGATGTGGCCTGAGCTTGTATGTAATGCATTACATTAATATAGGTGTACACCTTTACCCTAGCAGGGGGCTCCAGATTTTGTGTTTGCCCAGGTATTGTGTAGAAGTCTCTTAAGGTTGGCTGATTTGATAGCTTTAGTAGGTTTAAGGATAATATGCCCAAATTATTAACACCATTTCTGTGATTATGGCAAATGGAAATACAAGGATGGAAGAAAGGTTGTTTTGGTAAAAATAGAAGCATGGGGCGATGATTGAAAGACAGAGCAATGCAATGAGAAAAAAGTACAATATACCATATGGGGATTCATTTGCAGAAGTCTGGAATAACCTGATCTGAACCCGAACCTAAAATATAAATCCTAAATTTTAAAGGCAATAGCAAAACTGAAATTTGGGATCCCGAACTGATTGGAATTACCAAAATTGTTCCTGAATTTCCTGGAATTACAAGGAAAACATAACCCAAAAGACCCTCAAATTAGTCCAAACTAATTTATTGCAAACTGGACGAAATCCCGTACAACACAAATTGAAAGAACACCATAACTTGGGAGGAACTCTTACCTATGCCAATCACAGTCGGTGTGAGAGTGGAGCATGCATGGTTGGTGCCAATGTGTGCATATGTCATTTCTGTGTGTGTGTGTTTTCAATGAAGACGAGGGAGATGGTTATGTTACATGTGGGGTGATGCCACAACTGCCTGGAAGTGTAAGAGGGATAAGAATGGAGGTATGAGACATGAGTTAAAGGAGTTGAGAGAGTAATACTGGAAAAACAAAGATGATAGTGGGTAGGGGAGAACAAAGAGATGTAAAAAGACAGACCTGTAAACAAGTAGTAAGGTGGAAGGGTGACTGTTACATACCTATACCAAAGGATAGGAATTGTGGAAATTCCCAACCCAAAAATTCCATCAAATGCAAATACCGTACAAAAATTACCATTCCTTGAATTTTCCAACTCAGAAAGCCCTGGACCCGAATGGGTCAGCACTTGACCAGCTTTGGGAACCTACTTCCACGAAAACTTTGCCATCTCCTAACGTATTAATGACAGGATGTGCCAACTCAAAACTAGTTGAATCTTTACCCAAACCATGCTGGGATACGTTTGAGAGATTTTATCTTGTTCTCTTTCATTAGTGATAGTGTCTGAGTGCTCACATTAAACTTGATATGCAGATGTCACCTTGTCATGAGTCTACTCTCTTTGTTTTCTTGACATACATTTTATGCTTGAAAACTGCATCGTTGAGACCTTCCATCATAAAATCTAGTTAATGAGAAAAAGGATTCTGACATCATGAAGGTTAGGGCTTCGTCTAATTGCACAAGTCAGTAAGTTTGTTTTCCTTGCACAAATATCAGTTTTGATTGATCATATACATATTCCTTTCCTCAGGTGGGTTAGTAAGCTAATCAGGAAAAGGCATGATTCGTCTGTGACCAGTGTTGCTTGGCATCCGAATAATGTTCGTATTTTCTATTTCATGTAACTTTTGAAATGTTGATGCTGTGTTGCTTTACAGTTGATGTTAAACTTTCTTTTTGTCCATCAACAGAATGCATTCATTGTTCTTTTCACCAGCATTTGCATCTCATAGACTTAATTCTATGACACACTGTCTAGCTATTCTCATTTGTAGATCTACTTGTTATAGATGGAGGCTCACCTTTAGAATCCTAAGGTCCTTGCCCTCTCCAAGGCAATGTAAATTCTTTACATTCGAATAGGGCTGGTTAACTTCCGAAAATTAGGCTCTTGACCTCAATAATCTTTGATGTTCACAATGGCCAAGGTGTTTTATTAAAATTCTGAAAGAAAGGTCGTTGGGATTGGTGTTTGGTGTTTGAAAAAGAAGGCTTTAGGATGGATGTCTATCACCAAGAGGAGGAGCAGTAGCAGATGAGCATTTAAGATGACTGAATTATTAAATTGTGTATTCATCACTTGGTTGAGAGCAGGTCGTGGTATCACTCGTTTTTGTGTATTATAACACATATTATACATGTCTAAGGGAGTCTGAAGGCGGCAAGTGACATGCTGTAGCATGTAATCAAGAACCATATGCTGAGGTTTTCCTGTTAAACTTATGCCTAGCCTAAAGCATAGTGTATACATGAGCTTATGGCATAAGATGTGTGAACTTGTGCAATGAGTAACACTATTTTGAGTCAGTTTGGATCATGGTATCTGTTGGTGTTTGCATGGAGTAACTGTTGTAGTGGGTCTTCAGAAGAACAAGTATGGATATTTTTGCTACTATTAAGAACTCACATTAACTAATAGCAAGTTGTACTCAGCATGCTTTTTGATATTTCCTGAATTCTTAACTCGTATGTGGGATTATGGTAGAGGTAAATGTGTAAGAGTTTTAGATGTCAGTCCCTGTGAGGCTGTGACCCAAAAATGACTGCTGTTTATAGATGGTATAACAAGGTTGAAAGTGTGCTAGAACAGGTCATTAACAGCTGTTAAGGTCTGGAAACTTTTGGTATTGGTGCCTTAGGGTGCGTTTAGTATGCAGATTAATAACGCCGGATGGGACAAATGTACCGCCCCACGTCCTTATATATTGGGTGCCGTTACTTTACATGATAAAACTATTCCATCTTGAATCTGAACTTGAAATTCAGCTTTATTTATAACATATCTTGAAATTACATCAAAGAAGAAATTACTTAGAGGAAACGTAACCATAGCTTGCATTACAACAAAACTTGCTTATTGACTAAAACATACTACTTTATGCAAATCCTCCTCCTTTCCTGAGATACATACATGAGATATATATAAGTTATAAGCTTAGTGAGTATTTACGGTTTCATGAATGAGAAATTTTCATGATATTTTGTGAATGATAATTCATTAAAGCTCTTGATTTATCATGCATAAACATTCATAAAATACTATTCTTTATCATGCATAAAACATTCTTTTGAGATATCGTGACTATCACATGCATGTATACCATACTTGTCTTGAGGTTTGCTAACCCCCGGGTCCATAAAAGGATGCCCTATAAGGTCCGTTTGCAAGACGTCCCTTCTTGTAATATCCCGTACGTTGGATATTATGGTTATACATAACATGTAAAAATTTCCATGCCTTGTGTAACACATATGATAACATGTAAATGATTTTCATGTCTTGTGTGTATACTTGTATTGAAACATGTCATCATGCATATCTTGAATATGTATGTGTGTCAACATTTTCATGTGAAACAAGCATGCCAACATAACTTGTAATGCATAAAATACTTTTATATATAGCATGCATGTATCTCATAAATCACATAAGTACCCACCTTGATTTTGCCTACTTTTTCCTTTGATTCCTTTCTTCAAGCTTAATTATGTATATATAGAGAGATTTATTATTTTTGGTGTGCCCAAATAGTGACCCTTCAATCCCTATTTATAGATAAATTCATTGCATTAACTACTTGTTCTTTTTGCTCTCAAGATTGTACTCTTATGAGAGTTTAACACCTCATCTATAAAGATAAGAGAATCTTGGCAACTCATTTCTTAAGGATAAGAGAATCTAGACAATAAGGATAAGAGAATCTAGACAACTCATCTAAGGGATGAGAGAATCTAGACAACTCATTTCTAATGATAAGAGAATCTAAACAACTCATGCTTCTAGTACTCCTTGTCATGCTTCCTAGACTTGTCTTGTAATCAATAGTCTTGCTAACTCATATTTTTTTAGCCTAAACAACTCATCACTAGATTGCTTATTCATGCTTACTAGACTTGCCAACATACTTCTAGCCTTAACAACTCATCACTAGATTGCTTAGTCATGCTTACTAGACTTGCCAACACACTTCTAGCCTTAACAACTTATCACTAGCTTGTTTAGTCTTATAATTAAGATGTTTCACTAAATGTAACAGCTGCTAGAGTACTTGAATTACTCATAAATATTTGCATTTAAGGCTTAAATATTGAGATTTATCAAACTAAAGAAACTAGGGTGTTACAACAAAATAGTCCCATTTTTGGCACAACATGGTGGACAAGGACAAGGTTGGACTAGGTGGAACGAAAATTCATTTTGGTGGGACAAATACAAAGTACTTCTTGTTCCAACCAAAGAGGTGAACAAGCTTGGACCAAAACTTAAATTACTATGTTTAGGTAACCACTCATCCTCCAAAAATAAGGTCACCGGACTCTCCTACTGTCACCGGTTATCTCTTCCATCAGCTCATCCATCTTTCTCAATGAACCTCCATCACCACAATTCACTCCCTCCAGGCCTCCACTGTCATAACTATTGATCTACACCGTCCACGAACCAGCCTCTGCAGAGGTTCTGGTTTTTGATCTTCAAGCTTCGTGTGGGTTTAGGAGTAGAGGAGATGAAGAGGATGGTTTTGTTTTTTGATCTTGAAGCTTTGTGGTTGTGGGTGTTGGTCCAACGGTGAGTTGTGAGTGGTGCTATGATGGTGTATGTGGTGGCTGTGTGAAGGCGTTAGAACCAGAGAAGGATGTGGTGGTGGTGGGTTTATAACTGAAGGAGGATGTGGTGCGACATTAAGAAGATATTGGAAGGAGGGTCCTATGTAGATAAAGTAATTATATATATGATGTAAAATAAATTTGGAATATAAAATATGAATATTTAGGTCTTATAAATAAAAGTATGTATAGAATACAAATATTAATTTTTATAAATAAAATTCACCCTAATTTTAATAAATAAAATTATTTAAATTTTTGGACTTTTGGTTGAATTGTATTATTTATAACTATTATCTGATAAAAAAACATTAAACAATAGGTTAGGGGCAATTTAGGCATTTTAACAGTTTTTCCTGTCCTGTCCAGCTTACCAAATGCAAGTTAGACAATTTGTGCAGTCCTGTTCTAGTTGTACCAAACACAGGACAGAGAATTAGTCCAGTCCTGTCTAATCCAGTCCACTCACCAAACACTGCCTTATAGATCTTGGAAATGAACTCAGGTTTATAGACATAAACTTGTCTTGCATTAAGCCTGATACGAACTTTTTCGAAGTGCTAGAAGCTGAATAAAAGTTGTTGCTTTTCCTTACCTATATGTTCTAAACTGAGTGTTTCGTGAATATCCCAATATGAATTTAATAGAATATGTATATAAAGAGATCTGCATATTAGCTCCTTTTGTTATTTCTATGGAAATTATATGTTAGCAATATGCTATTGTTTAGATATACTTGGTCGTGTTGACAGGTTCTCATTGCTACAACATCTACCGATGGCAAATGCCGGGTATTCTCAACTTTTATTAAAGGAGTTGATGCAGGGTATGTGTACAAAGTTTCAGAGGCTTTATCTTTTTGTAAACTTCATATTTTTACTGAAACATCTGCACTGACGTCTATGATGATGATTGGCAGTAAACCAAAGAAATCAGGAAGTGGATCCTCGTTAGATGCAAAATTTGGAGAGGTTTGATGTCAATTAAGATTTTTAAAATAAGCTTCAAATTTTTTGCTATAAAAATGTGGACGAAAAAACCAACTGATATTTTGTATTAGATCCTGTCCTGATAAAAAGAAACTTTCCATGCCATTGTGAAGTTTTAGTGAGGGTCTTCGGATTGGTTCACCTCTTACATATCGTTTAATGGGTTGTGCTTGTCATCCTATTCTGACTAGTTTGGTTACAAGGCGTTGTTATTGTTCATATTGCTGAAACTAGCCATTTTACTGAAGCTCGGAGTAGCTAAAACTCATTAACTTGCATCCTTTGATCATCTAAACCTCTTTTTATTTCCCTTTAAAGTTTAGAAAATCATAAATTTCTGAATTAATGTACAACACCTTTCAATCAATTTATTAACATTTGGTGGTTGAAGAGGATTACATGTCCACTACCCCGATACCACTAATTGTAGTTGTCTCATATTCAAGTTCTTCCTCGTTGACACACACTATTTCTCTCTTCCTTGATATAATGTTGCTTTTTCTTGCTTGACCAGCAAATTGTTCAGCTTGATCTCTCAATGTGCTGGGCCTTTGGTGTCAAATGGTCCCCAAGTGGTAATAGCTTAGCCTATGTAGGTGAGCGAATTTACTCCAATGCTTCATATCTAGGGTAACATAAGTTAAGATGCTATAAATATGTAATAACCTAATAATTGTTACTTTCTAGTGTGTACAGTTTTGTCAAGGAATTTATGATTATATAGATGTTTAAAGTTGGCAAGATATTCTGGTGGAGTAAATTTTGCTCAATAGCCAACTTTTTAGGGGATGATATCTATTCAGCTTTTGTTTTCAAATTGTTGTATACACTTGTGTCTACGGTTGCATTTTAAAGATTTGTTCACTTTCATGTTTCTCTCGGCATGAACCAGGTCATAATTCAATGATATACTTTGTCGATGAAATTGGACCTTCTCCTTCTGCTCAAAGTGTAGTATTACGTGATCTGCCTCTTCGTGATGTGGGTCAGCATCCTCTCTAGCATTCTACCTTGTTTTTGCAGTTCTTTTTATTCAAGTGGTCATACACAATATTCTGTTTCAGGTTATGTTTGTATCTGAGAAACTTGTAATTGGTGTGGGATATGACTGCAATCCGATGATTTTTGCAGCGGATGGAACAGGTTTATGGTATAGTTCTAAGTTTCATTCTTGCATATTCTTGTTCTTATTACCTTTGGACTTTGGCTTTGGAAATATGTGTTCATGGTAATACACGTGCACTAAGATCCAACTTCTGTGGTTGATATCATGTTAGTTGGGATTATTCACCTTTGCACTACACTTAAATCTGTCTGAAAATAATTTCATTTGCCTTTTTCATTTCGATGTCAATGAATCCAGTATAAACTTAAATGTTTACATGAAAATCATGTAATAATTGTATCGTGACTGCGCTTTTCTATGTTATAAATGAAAGTCTGTCATGATGGCGATACACGTTCCATTCATTACATTCATAGTTAATTTCTTTCTTTGATCTATGTTTTAGGAGCTTTGTCAGGTTCCTTGATGAAAAAAAAGCAGCATCTTCTAGTGCAAGATATGGTTCACAGGTTTTACACTCAACCTGACCTCTTCCCTTGATGTCTGTATGATAATTTGAGTTCATAAAAGTTGAATCAGAGAGGAAAAGAAAGCATTTGCTTATGCTTATTTAGTATCGGCTTTTGACTAGGTGTGTGGTTTACGACAAGTAAGCCAAGGGAATGTTGTTGGTTCAAATTATTATCAATTCTCTGTAATCATGTTAATGTACAAATAAGCAATTTTAGATTAAACTATATCCAAGAAGGGAAATGCTACAATTTTCTTGGGACTTCCCTAAAGGGAGATTGTTGCAATTTTCATCGAATGGATGGAGTATGATGTCACTGCTTTGATAGGGTGAATTAATTTTTAAATCAGTTAAAGGAGCCTGAATAGTAATTTCATATGAAGCTTCGCCCATACCTGGCTCTTAGTTTTCTCTTTTGATGTTTATCGGACATTCATCATACGTTATGTTTGTATTGACTTTATCTTTTATACACTATATGTTTGGAAAACCAATGTATATAGGATTTTTAGGCAGAGGTTTTTGGGAAATCCTCGACTCTATGGAGTTATTTATGCAATGAAAGTGCAATTATAGTGATTTAGCTGGGGAAGCTAGAAATTTTAAATACTAGAAATTTGTTAATCAGGAGTGAAGGCTATAAGGCTGCATATACCTTTGATTGATAAAATTTAAACTTTAATGCCAACTCATGGCAGCATTTCAGGAAAGTTTGCTTTGTGTGTTTATTATCACGTCATCATCTATCTTCTTCGTTCCATGAACACCTTCAAGTTCATTTCACATTTCTGATTGCCATGGCATATCTCCTTATAGTTGACACGCGTTAGTTGTTTTGTTCAGTTGGCTCTCTCTATCCCCTTTATCACATTCACATGCATATGCTCCAGATAAATAGCAATAAAACATGTATGTTGCGTACCTTAATTTATACATGTAGTAGAAGAAGATAGTGGCGTTAAAACCAAATTAGACCAAATGAACTCAGTATATACCACACAGTTGTAGGCTTGGGGTTAGGGTAATCTAAAGATATGACCTTAAATGAGTTTTTAATTAAATCCATTAGCTTCTGGTTTATTAAAGAAAAAATAGTTTTATACTCATGAGAAGGTCAGTGATTTAATTAAAATCTTATTAAATGTTATATACCTTTAAAAACCCCTCAGGGGTAGGATGTACAGGTTAATTAAGAAAATAGCCTTTGGGACAAGTTTTTTAAAATGCACGACCTTCTGACATATTTAAGAACGTCGCTGCCTAATAGAATAACTTCTAATATAAGAATGCCTCAAAATATGTCAAAAAGGTTATGTATTGAACAAACTGTTTAAAGGTTATTCTCCAAGATAACCCTAGGATGTATGAAGCCCTTGCCTTCTCCAACGGATAGAGAGGCTGTTTCCATGAAGACCCCCGACTTGTAAAATGAAAATCAAGGATACAAGTGAGAAAAGTAGGAGAGAAGTGCAAAGGAAGATAGTGGCTTACTAGCATTAAAAATAGAATCAGGTTAAATAGAAGTTATCACCCTCGCTTGGTTCTCGAAACAAATGCTGTAATTTCTTTTCTGGGATGTCCAGATATAAAATGCAATGTTGTTTTGTGGCAAGTGTCAATCCAAATTACCTCTTTGACCAATAGTGATCATTATAAATTGATAGGTTCATGAGCTGCTTCTATGTCATTTTAGATATTTAACTAATAGCGGAATACTTGCATTAAACATTAAACTATGTATCTAGTTGAGCACTGAACGAAAATATGAATAGATAAATGCATTGATATAATTCAATATACATAGTTTATTTAGAGTCTAATACAATTTTGTATTAGGATCCCATGTATTGAAGAGTTATGAGCATTACATCTTATGTAGACACTACAAAAATAGGATTATATGAACATATACCATGTAATAACAGGGGTAATTAATCGAAAAGGCTTTCCCACAATGTCTAGTGAAGTATAAAACTTGTACAGGTTTTCGTACTCTTATGTAGAGCATAAATATGTCAATCTTACGTTTATCCAAGGGTTAAATTGGACCTTATGTTATCTCCTACGTTCTCTCTCATTTCCAGCTCACAGAAGCATTTGGCAAGTTCTATGGAAGCTCGAAACAGGGAACTAGCAACGATAAAGCTCGTGCTGGTGTTCATGACAACTGCATCAAGTACAACCTTCACCTTTCTTAGCTTATTTTTTTTCTTCTTGTTTTCATTAAAGGATTTCAGATGTTGATGTTATCAACGGCATGACATATGTTTCAACTATACTTAAACAACACCCCCAATTTCATATTCTAGTTGCATTGTGCCGCTGAAGAAATCAGGGAGCACCAAATTGTCCAGCTTTAGCACTTCAGGTAATATAGTTCTCGCTTTGATACTTTCGCATGCTTTTGCAGTTTGCATGAATGATGAAACCTTAGGCTATGTTTGGCAAATTAGTTGATAAGCCAACTGTTGGCTAAAAAACTAGTTGTTGGCTAATAAGCTGGCTCTTAGTTGATAAACTAGTCATGTTGGATAAAAAACGATGACAATATAAAATGACCTAAAAGGACTTGTTGCAAAATCAGTTGGAAAATGTCAGGAGCATAATTGAGAAAAATTGAAATAACATGAAAAAATATTCTCTTGGAGCTTATTGAAGTAGTGTTTCAAAAAGCTAGCTTATAAGCTCGTTTATGGTTTACCAAACAGTGCTTTTCAATAAACTTAAAAAATAAGCTAGCGTAATGGTTGCCAAACATGGCCCTAGTGTTAGAAATTTGGGTGTCATGAATAACCTATACTGGATTGTTTTTGGAACACTTGCCAAAAGCAATATTTCGACCCAACTCAAGCCCATGAAATTTTCTTCGGGATAATCGAAATTCGCCATCAAGCTTCTAGGCTGGAAACATGAATAATAACACAGATTGCATATGTTTGTTTATCTAAAATGAGATTAGATAATATCATTTCTACAGGTATTATTATAGTGGTTATGGGCAGTTACCAAGGGTTATAAAGCATTTACATAAGAAATGAAATTGAAATGATCTGAGATAAAACGAATTGAATTTGCTCCCTCTGTAAACATGAGCAAATAACTAGTATGATGTAAGTTGCAACTTTCTGAAATATTCAAGCTAAAATTACCAAATTTACCCTTGGGAATGATTGATAGTAGTCATATAGTAATAGTACAGGTGATTCCCCTAGTTTGTTACCACCGAAGGGTTATTTGTTTTAGAAATGCGGCGTCATTTTTGCAGTTTCCATGAGACGGGAGTTTTATTTTAATCCCTTGTCTTACATATGTTGCGTGATTTGTATTTTAATTTTATCTATAAATATTGCAGGACTGGATGGTAAAGTTGTGGTGTGGGATTTAAAACACCAGGAAGACTTGGTGGAGTATCTGTAAATCTATGAACACCGTAATTATGGTAAACTTGATTGTTCTTTTAATCTTGAGCAACCATATTCTTACTTTATCACTAGTGTTATTTACGTGAAAACATAATCAACGATGCTACGACTTTAGCATCGATTGACCATTTCTCTGTATTCCTTTGTTACTGGTATCAAGTTGTTTACATGTTACTCTTTTTGGAGCAGGAAAAACTGTATTTTTCATAAGAAGGTATGTTATTGATTTATAATTCTGCAGGAGTTGTATTGAGCATTTACATATAAGCAAAAAGTAGAGTTTTTGCAACTCAATACCATAATTGATGGTTCTGATAAGTCACCAATATTTTGATTTCTTGTATGATAATTGTGTGAAATGTTTGTCTTGTTAGCGTTTAAATATATTTTTGACTTACATATATATATATATAGTATTACAAAATTAGAGCATCTCCAATGGAGTGACTTAGGCCATGTTTGGTAAACATAAGTTATCTTAGTTTTTGAATTTATTACAAAAGTTTTGTTTGGATGGACAAAAATTAGTTGATAAACTAGCTTGTTTTTTGAGCTTACTGCAAAATGCTTGTTTGGATGAACAAAAACTACCTCGTAAGCTACCTTATTGAAACATTACTTGCAGTAGTCTTTCAATAAGTTTTAGGAGTTTTTTTGCCACTCTTTTCTAGATTATACCTTGATTAATACTAATTTTTATTTATTACTATCTACTAGGTTAGAACCCGTGTATTACATGGGGGTATTTTGCAAAAATTAAATGAAAGCAGTATGCATTTTATAAAAAATCTATAATAACATGAGTAAATATTAAAAGCTTGTAAAACAAAATTTATAACAAAATGTAGAAGAAATTAGGCAAAGGTAAGTATCATAGATTACTAAATACTTTATAAAATATTAATAGAATAACAACCATGTATCATAGATTACAAAATACTTCTTTATATACAACATTCGTTGTTCTATTGCCAATAATACCATCATCATCTATAATCAATACTTTCAAACCTTGCTTGCTTTTAACTCTAGATAAAGCTACATATAACTGACTATGGGTGTAGACCGGTTGTCTTAGAAATAAACCATTTTTTGATAATGATTGTCCTTGGCTTTTATTTATGGTCATGGCAAAACATACAATAATTGGTAATTCTCTCCTTTGAAATTTGAATTGAATCTTTTTGTCTGTAGGTGTCAAAGACATTCTTGGAATGAATGTATGACTTCCAATATTGCTTCTAGATATAATGTGTGCTTCTATCACCTGATTTCCCAATGATAACACTCATAGTCTAGTTTCATTACATAATCCATATTTCCGATCAATATTTCTCAGTAACATGATAGGAATACCAACTTTTAGTAATATCTTATGGTTTGGTATACCTGATAATTTAAGATCATTTAAGACATCAGGAGAGTACAAAGTTTTATCAAACTGATCGTGAAGTCGCTTTGATTCACATAGCGTATCCGAACTTAAGTACTCCTTTTCGTCTCCTGGGAACAACGATAGCAAACAATCATTTATTTCTTGAACAACTTCATGTTTTGGTGCGAGTATTGCCCTTTCTTGAAAATTAAGATGAATTGTTGATGTTTTCAAGAATTGAGGGATAAACAAATTGTTTTAATGCAGATATATGATCCATTGAATCAATACTTAGAAGATCGTGAGGTATCTCAATAACTGTCTCACCATCATTATCACCTCCAACTTTGCCTTCTCCTAAGTCCAAAATCTTGTTTGCAAAAACCCTTGTTTGTTCAGTTTCAGAACATTCACTGTTTGCAGTTAGCCTCATGTTCTTAGTTAATCTTAGGACTTTGCATTTTTCCCAAATGTAAGATGAGCTTAATAACGCATTTACAATGTCTTGTCTACTTGCGTTGGTAATAACCGGCAGAATTTGTCTGAAATCTTCTCCAAAAACAATTACCTTGCCACCAAAAAGCATTTGCGAGTCACCAATGCGTCAACTATCGAAAATATCGTTCATACTTCTATCCATTGCTTCAAATGCATGCTTATGAACCATTGGTGCCTCATCCCATATTATCAAAGTAGTCTTTTTCATTAACTTCGCAACATCATTGTCTGACTTTATGTGACAGAGAATCTTCATTGATAATTAGAGGGATTTGAAAGCGAGAGTGTGTCGTCCTGCCATCGGTAAGAAGTAAAGAAGCAATACCACTGAAAGCTATGTTGAAAACAATTTCTCATTTAGATCTTATTGATGCAGCCAATGTCTTCTATAAGAATGTTTTACCTGTTCCGACATGCCCATAAACAAAGAACACACTACTTTTGTTCTTTTCAACAGCTGTCATGACTTCGTCATAAACACCTCTTTGCTCATTTGTTAGAGCAATTACAAGCTTCTGAAACTCGTCACGTAAATTATGATGGTTATAATCTAGCTCTTCCGTAATCAAACGGTTGTTTGAAGATTGAAGACAATCATTATCAGGATAAGGCAGAGTGGTGAATTTTCTCAGGGTGGAATTGTTACGAAGTAAAATCTTTTCAATTTCAAACAATGTCAGGTTCTTCACTTGTTCTTCATTGAGGGATAAATCTGTAAAAAGTATAATATAAACGTAAACAATTAATACATAAAATTAAACTTAAATACAATTTAAGAAAAAACATAATAGTTAACAAATACAAAAACAATAAATTCTTTAGTATATAGATAATAGTTGTATAAATCTATACTTATAATATATAATTAATATACTTGGAGACTTTAAAGCAATTCGTTGATTGTAGAGAATGTCATCTGCTAAGTATTGCCATGTTTTTTGTCAAACAAACTCAGGTCTAGATAGATTGCTTGAAATCAGTATGGTTGCAAATAAGAAGCGTAGATAAAAACCAGATGCGGTTAAATTTGTTTCTTCAATGGCATCAATATATTCCTTGTCATCATCAAAAAGCCCAAGAGCATAACATGTATCTCTAAAAGTAGGATATATATTTCCATTTACTGTACGAATGTCTTCGAATGATTTAGGACCTTTCACTTTATTCAAAACAATTCTTAAATAATATGCTTCTCATAGAGTAGGAGAAACTGAATGAATCCGTCCAATTGAGAAGCTTTTTTTCCTTCGATCCCAACGTCGCTCTTCCAATTTCCACACAAACTTTGTAGGGAATTCAACGTAAGTGAGTTCTCGTGGTTCTTGATAAATTTGATTACAATTCATCCAAGCTAAGAACATTGAGGACGCCAAATGGTCTGTTTAGGACATTTTCAATATCATCTTCAGCACCAAATACCACTTGTTGTTGTCCCGGAATATGGAAAGGAAGTTTTAAAACATAAGGAGTCCTGTAATGAACATCGTACCCAAAAATATGCCATGAAGCTTCACATGCAGAAATGTATCTACAATCATAATATTCCTTTATCTCACCAACAACATTAATAGTAACCTCATCATTACTGTTTTTTACAATAGCAACAGTAGCTCTATTTGGACCTTTGTTGATATATTTGAACAAATATTTTATTGAAGAAGCCTGATTGCACCACTCAACATTAATGTGTGTTTGATATCTTTTCAACAGATGTTTGTTATATGGAACAACATTTCTGTTGTCTAGTTTAACACCTGATTTCTCAATAAAACGTCCATCATCTCGTCTGCGGTGTAGAGGATAACCATTATGATCAATGGAAGTGTGTTCAGAAAATTACTTCAGGTACTTTTTTGAACACTTTCTATCAATCATGCAGGGGCAATTAATGTTCTCTTCAGCACACAGTCCATGGATCATGAACTCTTTTACAAGTGAGTACAAATTTGGATCTTTGTTTTTGTCTGGGATCTTAGCTGAGATAATAGGATGAATTTGTTCAACAGTAGGTAGCTAGAAATCAGAGTGCATAAACAGACATATATGACTGTGAGGCAACCCACGCTTTTGAAATTCAATTGTATAAACAACTACAAAAAAAAGTGACAATTTAAATTAATAAAGATATAACCGAAGTATGAAGAAATTTGTTGACACTGTTATCTTAATTTGAACATACCTGCTTGAAGTTTGTCGAATAATTCATTGTCTTTCAATTATTTAATAAGTGCATCAAGCTTGATCTTAAATAAACGACAAAGAATGTCAGGCCTGTCATCTGGATTTAGCCAGGTGTTTTTAACAAATCTTCTAATTTCTGGCTATTTAGGATTACTGTCATGGTTAAGAATAAGTCTGGATACTCATACCATTTACATAGGGACATTGCATCCAAATAATTTTGCATCATGTGTAACATCTCCCTTGAGCAAACTCCAAATTACCAATTCCTATAAAATCTCCAATAAAATATAATTTATTGATTATTAGGACCGAAAAATGATCCTAATTATTTTAAAAGTTTTGCCAAGATCATCAGGGCCAAGGATGGAAAATCTGAAAATGTTGCTGAAACAACTAAGTTTGGAAAAAGACCAGAGGTGAAGCATTGGTTCAGAGGCGATGAATTGGTCCAGAGGCCATGAAGGACCAGAGGCATGAAGGACCAGAGGCATGAAGGACCAGAGGCATGAAGGGCCAGAGGCATGAAGGGCCAGAGGCATGAAGGACCAGAGGCATGAAGGACCAGAGGGGCGATGGTTGGACCAGAGGCATGAAGGACCAGAGGGGCAATGGTTGGACCAGAGGCGAGACTATGAAGGACCAGAGGCGATGAATTGGTCCAGAGGCATGAAGGACCAGAGGCCATGAAGGACCAGAGGGGTAATGGTTGGACCAGAGGGGCAATGGATCAGAGCCCATGCAATGGTCCAGAGACGATGAAGAACTAGAGGCCAACACTTTGAAAACACACAAATCTAGGCATAACACTAAATAACCTCAAAATATGGGATATTAATTTCTAGAAAAACATCGAAATATCCGTTCTATTTTAGTGATAAAACCACCCAAAACACGATTCCAAACCGGATATAACGGATATTTACTTACAACCCAAATTAAGTAGCCAAAAAAATACGGGACAAGACTATATATATATATATAAAAGCTAATATTTACCCAAAAGCAAGATCGAAATCTTCGAGATCCCCGGTAAATCTTCAAGTCAAACAACGAAATCTTTCTTTTTGTCCGTCTTCTTTCCTGAGAAAGGTTGTCACTTAAATGGTAAGTCAACGATTAGTGAGTTAAATAGTTAAATATTACATATCGATATCACACATGTTTATAAACATATATAATAAACTTTTATCAATAAAAGAGTTCAAGTCATCATCCAGATGCAAACCGAGACTTACAAGAAACCGAGTGAACAATTACGTATTGGATGCCAAGATCATAGGATTCCATATTCAAATCACCATAGTATACAATACCATTGATGCTCAATACAACAAGGAGACAACATCAACAAACAAATGTATTCAACAACGTTAGAATACCAATAATTATCAAGAACCAAGAGATCAAATCGGTATACATAATGAAGACAGTGCATCACCCCGTCCTTCACCTCCCAGGCACATGCCAAAGTCTGAGTCAGAATCATGCATTACGGGAAACCTCGCACTGCCCGTCTTCCTCTACCGGGTATGTGCTAAGGTTCCCTACTCATTGCTCTTCCTCATCTCTGAGCAATGAGTATTCACAACCGCAGAAAGTCTCACCCGTCCAACACGGGATCTTGWCTTCGCCATAAACTTCCGGCATGCCACACGAAGTAGTACCCGTACTATGGCGTACAACACAAGGAACAAAACAAACAAGTCTGGATCCAGAAAGCAAACCGATGTACCGAGATAGTAATAAGGAATCGACTCAAGAGACGGAATCAAAGACAAATCAAGATCGTGTGACTCCATTCAAGAACGAAACATTCATATGAAAATATATATGTTCAAATCAATATGTAACAATTAACTAAATAACTCACCGGACAACCGTGTAATACCGAAAAGCTCCGAATTGAGCTCACAAAGCAAGTTCAATCTACCACACTTAGATTGCTTCCAAAATATCAAAACATGTCCTAATTACTCCCTGGAGTAAATGTACAAAATCTCATAAGCAACCGATATAAGAAACCCATGATATACACATATCTTATTTGAACATTTTATCCAAATTTCTATGTACAGCTGCTGCATGCAGAACTGTTTTGCCCATTTTAAGCTCGAAATCATGCCTTGATCATAAAATAAGAAATAAACTAGACTCAAATATCTAACTAAGAAAATTGGCCTCACCTGATTTGGATTTTTCTACAATTTTCTACATACTTTCAAAGTCAGCACACTTTCAAAGCATTCAAAAGTCGAAATTATCATCTTCATACATTTTTCTTAAACCATTTCGATTCCAAACCATTCCAACTTCTGAATCTCAACTTAATATAACATATTTGACATAAACAACCAAAATCCAACCTTTATTTTATCATTTATATTMTYTYYYAAATCATTGACTTAATCAAGTCAAAGTTCATATGATGAACTTGCATAAATCTTCATAATCTCTTGAATCTAATGACCATTTCATGCCAAAAACACTACAATGCACTCATTTTATACACTTAAGTTCAAACCCATATGAAACCCTARCTCCATMTCAACATGCAACCCATAAAACAAGGATATCAACCATAAACAAGTGCAAAGAATGGATTATACCTTACTTGATGATCAAATCCTTCAAGGATCTTGTAGTTCTTCTTTGATTTGAGTTGAATCAAGCCTATGTGTGTGAAAATCGCACCTCTAGAGTGTGTGTGAGTTCTGGACTTAGATGGCAAAAAAAATGGGCCAAAACTCCAATTTATAGTGCTAAAACTCGAGTTGGGCCGGGTTGGCCCGGCTAGGAACCCATTTTGACCATCAATACTTAAATTATTCATAACTTTTCGCTCGGACCTCCGTTTTCTATGAGGTTTTCGCCTACACGATCATAAAGAGATAATCTATAACGTCCAACAAAAATATTCCAGAAAATATCTCCCAAGAAAATCAGTTTTACGTATTCATTTGACATGATATTTTCTAAATCCTCTAATATATTCTTAAGAAATAAAATTCTAAAGCTTCAAACCCAAACTCTCACTAAATCATAAGTTCTATTTAACCCAATAATTAAATATACTAAGCAAATAATTGGACATAATAGAAATTGGATGTTACATCATGTACTAAGCACCACCGGTAAAAGAAGAAGATAATATAATACGTTGTCCAATGTTGATGTAACGCCCCCAGAACCCCGTAGCATGATATTGTCCGCTTTGACTAACCTGCCCGCTMWACCACAAAGCAGTAGTCGCACGGTTTTGTTTCTGGCAGCCGCACAACGCAAGCCCCAAAACCGGTCATGCTAGGTTGAGGTATCCACACCCTTATAAGGAGTGCTTAGTTCTCGTCACCAACCGATGTGGGACGGGATGTTACAGTTGAAGCATCCGACTCTCATTGTTCATGTACATTGCGTAAATTATCATAAGTCTCGCACCTTAGGACTTTCTGTTGCTTACTTATGTAATGCAATCTTTCACTTTCAATCATTGTGTAACCATCAACAATAAATTGCTGTAGAAGTCTCCTTGCATTGAGAATTAATGAAAAACATATTTACCCTATCTTGAAGTTTGATGGCGAAAAACTCCCTCATTGTTACAGTTGCTCTTTTACTTTTGCTTGAAGATGTTATCTCTCTATGGGGAATGTCAACTCTATAACCATCTTCTCCGTATGTAAACAACAACGGATATTGAAGCGGAAGGTAAAAATGATGTAATTCACTTATTTGGTGTAGATAACTTGTTTGATGTTTTACAATGATATCTCTCTTCTCAATTGTACCACCATCATCTCCAACAATTAAAGCTGTAACCTCTGAAGCAGTTGGAAGGTTATATGTTCTCCCATCCTTTTCTCGTGTTCCAATAAACCGTAAGTTTAGCTTCACATCAGGATAGCATCGGAAACAATCTCTTGCCATTCTATAAGATTTCACCAAAACATTTTGGGTATCTAGTATGTTCTTTAAATATTGCATAATCTCAATATCAAGGCAATTAGAATTTGATGTAGACCCTTCTTTTTGTTCTTATAAACTTAGGGCCTGTTTGTCAAATGTTATCCAGTAAGCGCTTATCATGTCATATTACCTTATTAGATTAACATTACAAGGAACAAGATTCTTACTCGGTAAAACCAATGGCAAGAACCAAGAGTCTTACCCAGTAAGTGAAGGTGACAACTCTTACCCGGTTAGCGCTTAATGGATAAATTGTTGCATACGATGCCATTTTGATGGACTCAGATCTTACTTGATAAGGTAAGTTATGTTAAATTTTACCAGATAAGTGTTTAGATAAACGACCCCTTACTCTTATAAAACAGTCTATTAAAAATTTAGACAATTTTGACATCCTAGTCTTCTATTACAAATACCAGCTTACTGCAAGTATCATTACTATGTTTTCTTTCATCGTTATAAGTTCACATGAATGAGGTTCTACTGGTGAAATATAGATCTGACCATTGTTCCACTTTGTTCCACATAATAGTTTTATCAAATGTGAAACCGTGATCGTTGTTCTATTCGGTGTACCAATCATACCCTAAGGTAGCGTTTGATTCGCATAATATTTTTGAATTGAATGAAATCTGTTAAAGGAATTTGACTTTGAAGGTATTTGAATGTAATGTTGTCATGTTTGACCACATGTTTGGTTGACAGACATTGGAATGGAACCTGTCAAGGAATTGGAATTTGTCTGTTTGGTTCACATAATGTACCTCTGGAATTGGAATGATATATTGGTAAATGACCAAAATGCACTTTTTCAAAAAAATTAATTTTTTTAAAACTAAAAATACTTTAATAAAATAATTATTTAATATGTAAAACAATATAAAATACACAACCCAAATATAACCATAAGTCAAACGACGTTACTAAATCGACGGTAGTCGACGATGGTTCAGATCGGTGGTGGTCCACGGTGGTTTAGAGGTGGTGGTCTGTAGTGGTTCAGAAGGCGATGGTCGGCGGTGGTTGGCAGTGGTTCAGATCGATGGTAGTTCGCGGTGGTTCAGATGAACGGTGGTTCAGATTGGAGGTTGTTCAAATCGTTGGTGGTCGGCGGTGTCCGATGGTGATTCAGATCGGTGGTAGTTGCTGGTAGTTGGCAGTGGTTCATATCAGTAGTGGTCCATGGTGGTTCAGGTGGCGATGGTCGAATGTGGTTCAGATCAGCGGTGGTATAGATCGAGGGTGATTCATATCAGTGATGGTCGGCGGTGGCTAGCGGCGATTCAGATCGATTGTGGTTTGTGGTGGTTCAGATCAGTGGTGGTCTATGGTGGTTCAAATGGCCATGATCGACGGTGGATCAGATTGGTGGTGGTTCAGATCATCGATGCTCGGTTGTGGTTCTAATGGCGATGGTCGACGATGGTTCAGATGGCGGTGGTCGATGGTGATTCAGATTGACGATGGATGGAGATGGTCGACGATAGTCATATTAGGTTCTATAAAATTAAGGCATACTGGATTAAAGACATTTAGTATTATGAAAATAGAGAATTTCATTCTATCAAAATACCATATAGTTACTAAGAAATGTTAAATTTTTTTATTTGTGAAATTTGTAGAATTTTGAAGATTGCTTTCATGAAAAAAATAAACCAAACGAAAAAATATAATTTAGTCAATCGAATTCAGAATCTGCGAACCGAACTTCTCTTTTAGGTTTTTGAAATTACCAAACATAACTTGTCTGACAGACAATGCAAGCAAATGCTAATTTTAAATAGTTATGAATAACATTACCAACCAAAACATACATTCCATTACAACCCAAAACTGAAATGCAAGTATAAACACTAAAAGTAGCAAAACATAAAACAAGGCAAGTAAAAGGTAAATTTTCATCCTCAAAAGAAAGCTAAAAAAACAGGAACCATAGTTATCGTGGAGTTTGGCCGTTAACGATATCAAACATAGGTATCGATCAAAGACTTCCTCATCTCATCCACGATGGCACTCGGTTGGGCTTCTCGCAACTTGAAAACACTCTCGATCACAGATAATTCAGTTGCGGTAGTGTCCGAACCRCAAAAAGCAGTCCAATCATTGACCGTTATGCCGGCAGCTATCACTTCACTACCACGATTCACCGTGCCCGCCACTAAAGGTACTTGAAGGAGGGTTGACAATTCATCCAAGTCTTCAATAGAGGTATGAGGGTGAACCTGCAAGAAGCAGAACCACCATTTCTGTAAACCAAACCAAACAAACCCATATATCCCA